CCCACCATGTATGAGGCCCATGAGAGAAAGATAAATGGAAAATCAGAAAAAGATAAACAGGCACACCACTGTATAAACACTAATTGTACAATACAGACAACTGTAGTAAAGACAAAGCTTATGTTCCAAATTTTCTAGAACAATTCTGTTTTGTTTTTAGTTTGTTTTATGCTGGTACTGGGACTTAAACTCTGGGCCTGGATGCTGTCCCTTAACTTTTTCACTCAAGGCTAGCACAGTACCACTTGAGCTACAACTCTACATCCAGCCTTCCTGTCTGGGTTGGCTTCAAACCATGATGTTCAGATCTCAGCTTCCTGAATGGCTAGGATTTTAGGCATGAACCATTGATGCCCGGCTTCCAGAACAATTCTGATTTCAAATATCCTTTTCCACCAGTTTCTTCACTACAACTGTACATTTGGATCATGAGTTTTTTCATTTTTGGTAGGAAACATACAATCATAACAGCTACTTAAGAGGTAAGCTGATCAACTAAATCAACAGAAGTCAAATAGCATATAATAATAAAAAAGAATAAACAAACCAAATAGCATGATGTAAAATTGTTTTAATCATGCTAGCACCTTCCACAGTACCAGCACAGTGCTTTAATAAGCTCTTAAGTAATTGCAGGATTGAATATGAAATGTAATAAACCAGGCGCTGATGACTCACACCTGTCATCCTAGCTACTCAGGAGGCTGAGATCTGAGGATTGCAGTTCAAAACCAGCCTGGACAGAGCAGTCTGTGAGATTCTTATCTCCAATTAACTTCCAGAAAACTGGAAGTGGTGCTGTGACTCAAAGTAAGAGCTCAAAGAGAGCACCCAAGTCCTGAGTTCAAACCCCACAACTGACCAAAAAAAAAAAAGCAATGAAATCAGAGTCTCCTAAAACTAAGACAGCTAATCAGGAGAAAGGTAGAAACCCAGAACACTTGAAGAAGTTTAGGCAAACCAGTTACAGGACACTGGTCTCTGTTGTGCCATCCTTCTCCAAGGCCCTTCTCAAAGTTACTGAAAACTATGACAATAATTAGGCCTGTGATACTCCTGGGAAAGAAATAAATCTATTCCTGTGACAAAAATTAGTTTTCCCACTAAGCAGAAAGAAGAGACTATCTTCCCAGTTGCTCTCTGGCACACAAAGTGACAGCACAGTTATCATCACACAATTACCTCTTTCTTCTCTCCCTGTAACTTTCTTCATGTATCTTATTAACTTATATCTATAAACTCTGTCCATATAATCAAGGAAATCGCAAACAAGAGTCAACTAGAAACTCTTAAAAACCAGATTTCCAGTCCTACTCTCATATTTACCAAATAGGAGTTTGGAAACCTGTGTCTTAGATCAACCAGGCGCCAGAGACTTTAACATTTACCAAGTATTATCAGCTCCCCCCCTCCCCCCTTCTTTCTCTCTAGTCCTAGGGCTTGAACTCAGGTCCTGGGTACTGTACCCAAGCCAAATTTTGCTTAAGGCTGGCACTCTACACTTGAGCCACAGCACCATGTCTGGCCTTTTCTGTTTAGGTGGTACTAAGGAATCAAACCCAAGGCTTCATTCATGTTAGGTAAGCATTCTACCACTGAGCCACCTTCCCGGCCCCAACAGCCTCTTTTTTATTTTTGTGGTAATAGGGTTTGAACTCAATTCAGGAGCTTGGGTTTGCTAGAGCTACACCTTGAACCAGCCCCTTTTCCACTATTACTTGTCAAATAGGGTCTTGCTTTTGGCTGAGGCCAAATCCTCCATTTACGCTTTATGTATAACTGGGATGACAGGCATATGGCACCACATCCCACTTTTTACTAGCTGACAGTCCTTGATTTAAAATATTTGCTTAAAATAGTTATACCATTGTAAGAATAGATGGTTAAAATGGGCATGGTAATATACATCTGTAACCCAAGCACTTGGGGGGCTAAGGCAGGAGGATCTTAATATGGACATGCAAGGAGAAAAATGGTGAAATCCTGTCCCACTCCAGGTCAGGTGGTCATAACTGAAATTTAGATGTCATTTTAGATACGTTGGGCTGTTTATAAATGGCTTCCCTTTACAACAGCTATATATCTTGCCTCATAATAACCCCAAGTAACTACTCTTAGTTATTACTATTAATATTACTTTAATAAGAGTAATATTATGTTGGTATGTGCCTATAATCCTGGGGACTCAGAAGATGGATCCTGAGTTCAAAGTCAACCTGGCCAAAAAGATATCAAGACCCTGGTCCCAAATCAAAAACAAATGGCAGCTGGGCGCTGGTGGCTCACAACTGTAATCCTAGCTAGTCAAGAAGCTGATATCTGAGGATTGTGGTTCAAAGCCAGCCCAGGCAGAAAAGTCCCTGTGAGACTTTCACCTGCAATTAACCACTCAAAATCTGAAAGTGGCACTGTGGTCAAGAGGTAGAGCACTAGCCTTGAGCACAAAGAGGCTCAGGGACAGCACCCAGGCCCTGAGTTCAAACCCCACAACCAACGATAAATAAATTAATAAATAAAAAGGATCTGGGTTCAATTCCCTCTACCACAGAAAAACAAAACAAAACCCCACAGCTAACGTTATTATTAAAGGAAAGACTGAGAAGCCTGGCCCCAGTGGTTTATGCCTGTACTCCTACTCAAGAGGCTGAGATCTGAGAATCTTCAATGTCTTGTATACAAAAGGGAATGTGGTCTTGAATTTTCACTTAATATTTTTGGCAGAACTGGGGATCAAACCCAGGGCTTTTGGCATGATAGGTAAGCATGCTACTACTGAGGCACATCTCATCTCCAGAATTCTTGATTCTCCGTTTAGCTACTATCCGAGAAAAAGGCTATGTCGTTTATGTTTGTAACTTTTTAGTTAACTATGACCAGCAACGTAGGCAACTTATAGGTCAAATTTTTCATCTTTTTTTTCTCCAAGGAGTGACAAGGTGAGTTTTACATTTCATGTCAAAACATAACAATTCCAATTTCTAAAAGATCTGCTCTCTGTAGGAATTATATTCCAGTTTTTGGTGCAATCTACATGCAGAGCCCAACTGTCCTATAACAAGTCACCTACTTAAAAGAAATTTGAAAATGAAGGCAGCCCTAGGTGTCTTATTGAGGGGTAAGCTAAAGGTAATAAACATTAAATTTTATGTAACTCACTGGTATTGTCATTTCTAAGTAGGTCCTATTCTTGCTTCCTTTGACTCAAAGCAGCTCAACTTATTGGCCCAAGCAAAGGAAAAATGGAAGTCAAGTCATTCAAAGGGGAATCATAGGATTTACTCTTTATATCCCTAGCTGGATTAGGTCATTCAATGAACACAAGGCCCCCATATTCCCAAACCTACATCAGTGTTTTGGCTCTAAGACTATTTTTGGAAACTTTTTCCTTTTTTTAGTTGGTCATGGGGCTTGAACTCTGGACCTGGGCACTGACCCTGAGCTCTGCAGCTCAAGGCAAGAGCTCTACCACCTGAGCCATAGCACCACTTCTGGTTTTCTGGTGGTTCATTGGAGGTAAGAGTCTCACAGACTTTCCTGCTTGAACTGGCTTTGAACTGTGATCCCAAGTCAGCCTGGCTACACAGAACAGGCTCTATTAAAAAAAAAAAAAAAAGCAAGAAAACAAACAGAAAAGCCCACATACACACATGCAAGAGGCCCTAGATTCCGTCCCATCACCAAAAAATGATATACACTTGTTAATGAACACCATGCCAGAAATTCAAAGGCACAAAACCATTTTATATCCTTTTACTTGACAGGAGTGAAGGAAGACCACTTCAACAATGTAATCCATTTCCAATTTCTACAACTCCATTTAGGAAGGAGCACAGTATCTATCCGGAACCAAACTGCCGAGTTCAACATCACCTGTGCTATCTTCTTGATTGTGGGATGTAGGTCAAGTTACTTCCCATGAGTCTCTTGTTGATCTCCTTTTACAGACAGGAGAAATGATCAACTCACAAGATTTAGGGAGAGCTTGAGAGCAAGAGGTCTTGCTCTCAATTATAGTGCATTATAAAAGGTTACCTTTCAAACCCGGTCTTGTCCAGTTTATGGCATCATCAACAAAGCACAGTAAGAAGAACAGCCACCGGCCACGACAATTGGTCCTTCAGAACCAATTTAAGGGGCGTGACCCACAGACAGGCCTCATGCAAAGACTGTGCAAGGCGGTCCCGACAGCTTTTACAAGGCAATTAGGACGCCTAAAGCACAATACTCAGGAGGTGACTAGTGAACTCCTCATCCAGACTAACCAGCTTCACTTACAGGTCATTGCTCCTCTTGCTGAATTCTGCACTGAAGGGTACCAGTGGCTCATGCCAGTAATCCTAGCTACTCAGGAGGTTGAAGATATGAGGACGGAGGTTTAAAGCTAGCCAGAGCAGGAAAGTTCATGTGACTCTTCAATTAAACACCCAAAAGGTGGAGGTGGAGCTGTGGTTCAAATGGTAGAGCGGCCCCCCCCCAAAAAAAATAAGCTCAGGGGCAGCCCAGGTCCTGAGTTCAAGGCTCCAGGCCGGCAAACACACACCTACACACAAAAGGACACCGGAGGTCACCCCCAAAGTCCCCACGCTGATGCAAAGGGCGCCTCCCACGAGGTGAGTCACTACAAGGACGGAGCTTGCGGCCGACAGCCAGCGGGACAGCGACGCCGGGCTCCGGTCGCGGACCCCGGGGTCCCCTCGCCAAGCTCACCCAGGACGCTGCGAGGGCTGGGCCCCACGGGACATCAGGGAGCCGCTGAGGCGGCCCGGGCCCCCCCAGGAGAGGCTTCGTCCTCACCTGACACTCCCGCCGCCGCCCGGGTCCCCGCGGTCGGACGCTCCTCCGCCTCCCTCAGCGGCTTCCGGCCGCCCCCCGCCCAGCGTCCCCTCAGCCCGGCGCCCCGACGAGTTCCTGAGGAGCCCCGTCAGGTCAGGACCCGCGGGGTCCCGGCGGCGCTGTCCGAACAGACGACAGCAAGGCCAGGGAGAACGCGGGTCACTCACCCCGCAGCGAGTGCGCTCCCCAAATCCGCCAATCCCCAAGTCAGCGACTCCCTCAGCGGCGCCGCAGCCGAGCGGGCGAGCGACAGGACGGCGCGACGTGTGCACGCAGCGCGTGGGCGGGGCCTACTAGCGACACGCCCCCAAACACCACGCCACGCCCCCTACGAGAGGCGGGAGGCATTAAACAAGGACTGAGGTTGTTTCGCTCATTGGCCGAGCAGTCGTCTTGCCCGGGTAGTGGGCTCCGCCCCTCGCAGGGGAAAAACAAAAACCCCATCATCTTGTGGGTTATCTCAAAGGCTAGATTATAACTAAAACAGCAGCCGCTTTCTGACTTGACCTCATAACTGCAGTGCCAGGCTGTTCAAAAGTTGTTTCAATGTCTGCCTTGTTCCAGATACCATTTCCGGTGCTAAGAATCAGCAGTGCCAGCAAAACAGATGCTCTGCAAGATGACCTTGGGGGCTGGGAATGTGGCTTCGTGGTGGAGTGCTTGCCTAACACGCATGACACCCTGGGTTCGATTCCTCAGTAACACACACACACACACACACACACACACAGCCGGAAGAGGCACTGTGGCTTAAGTGGTAGACTGCTAGCCTTCCACAAAAGAAGTTCAGAGACAGTGCTGTAGACCAGAGTTCGAGTCCCAGGACTAGAAAAAAAAAAAAAAGATGACTTTGGTCTGGGATCTTGATACAAGTAAGGAAAAAAATAGTGATCTTAAGCCAACAGCAATAATTTTTTAGGAGTCATTTCAGAAGTTTGATTAAACACAAGACCTACCACGTAATAAAAAGGATTGTAATCAGTGCAAGTCCTGACAACTGCAAACGTGACTCAGGCATACCCAAGCACTGCGACAGGCCGGACTTTGGAGGTTAAGAGTCATAGCCACAGGCTTGGTTGGCGGTAAGAGAGAAAACGCAATGAGTTTTTTTTTTTCCTTTCCTTTTTTTGTTTGCTTTTTTCCTCCCGCCTCAGGCCGGGCAGCCTCCCCGACACGTGCACTAGAGGAAGAAGTGATTTGCAAGATTTTTCCAGGCGTGCGCAAACACGTTTGCATCCGGCCAGGATCCGGACAAACCATCTGGGCCAATATGTGGGGAAGAGCAAGGTCTGCGGCGTGTAGGGCCATGCTCAAGACAAGGACTGCGGGCGTCCAGAAGCCGCGAACTGGAGGGGGGGGCTTCTCGGGTACAACGCGGCCTACGGGGGCTCTGCCAGGATGGGTGGGAGCTGGAGTGGGTCAAGCAGCTCCTCAGGGCAGAACCACCCCTCGGCAGTGGGCTCTGCTGCAGGCTGGCGGGGGGGGGGGGGGTGCACCAGAGTCCCCAGGCAGGGCCCCGCCCAGTGGGCGTTTCCCATTGGGCAGCTGCGAGGGAGGCGGAGATCTCGCTTGCCAGAAAGAGGGGCGGTGGGCGTGTCCGGAAGTGGGCGGGCCCTGTGGTGGGCGGGCAAAGGGGGCGGGTTGCAACCACCAGCCCGCTCTTCTTTGGTGCGCACGCGGTTCTCCGGCAGTTCTGCATCCAGACCTTTGTCTATTTCCACTTCTGCAATCCCGCAACCTCAGCCTTGGGACCTCGCCCCTCGCCTGGAGCCCTTCATGGCGGACCAGAAACTGGTGGTGGTTTTTGGAGCCACAGGTGAGCCGGCGGGCCAGGCCTGCGCGAGCCACAGCTGCTCTATCCTGGGTCTGCAGGGACTCAAGGCGCAGAACTTGAGTGCAGATGACTTTTAGATTAAAAAAAAAGTTACATGTACAGGATACCAAATTGTATTTTCCTACGCCCCTCTTCCATCAATTAGCAAATTTCTGGGGTTACCTCCCAGTAGACACTATCTTGCCACCCCACTTTTCTTTTTGTGTGTTTGTATGCATGCATGCATATGTGTGTGTGTGTGTGTGTGTGTGTGTGTATTCTTTTTCTGTGCTAGGGGTCAGATTCAAGACTTACCACATGCTAAACCTAAATTCTTTCACTGAGCTACACCTATGAGGGATTTTTTAATGGTGTTTTTTTAAGAAATTAGTTGTACCAAATGGCTTCAGTTCAACATATTAACTTACAAGTAGAATAAGGATTTTATTTACTACTTTGCTTTTTAAATCCCCTGATATTGAAGGCTTGATCTCAGGGCCTTGTCCCTTGCTAAACTTTCTTCCTAGGCTGGCACCATACCTTCAGCGTTTTGGATTGTCTGCTCCTCCTGGCTCCAAACCTCAATTCTCAGATCTCATCTTTATGAGTAGCTAGGATTACAGCCCTGCTTGCTTGTAGGCTTTTTAAACGTGTTTTCTGTTCCAGGCATGGAACCCAGGGCCTGGAAAAGCACTACCCTGTACATGAAAAGAAAAAAAAAAAAGGTAGTATCCTCCTGACACTGAGGAGGCTGAGGCAGGAAGATAATACAGTTTGAGGGCAGCCTTAATTTCATACAGAGGCCATGCGACAAGAAACAAACAACCCCGACTAAAGAGTGTTGGGGTTGTTGAGCTGGGGATGTGGTTCAGTGTTAGAGTACTTGCCTAATAATCTTTTTTTTTTGGGGGGGGGTGGGTCCAGTTTGTGGGGCCTGAACTCTGGGCCTGGGTCCTGTCCCTCAGCTCTTCAGCCTACCACTTGAGCCACAGCGCCACTTCCGGCTTTTTTTCTTCTGCTTATGTGGTGCTGAGGAATCGAACCCAGGGCCTCATGCATGCAAGGCAAGCGCTCTACCACTGAACCACCTTCCCAGCCCACTTACCTAGTATTTTACAGACCATAGGTTCTATCCCCAGGACTGAAAAGGTAAATGTTATGTAAGTGAATTATATGTGAATACACCACAGCTCCTTGCTGTGGTGCAGCAGTCGCTTCTGAGCTCTGCTTTCTCAGGACTGTCAGTAGTGACTCTGGAAGTTTTCTGACTCTTCACAGGTGCCCAAGGGGGCTCAGTGGCCCGCACACTCCTGGAAGATGGAACATTCAGGGTTCGAGTAGTGACCCGGGACCCTGGGCAGAGAGCAGCGAAGGAGCTGAAACAGCAGGGTGCAGAAGTAGTACAGGGAGACCAGAGTGATGAGGCCAGCATGGAGCTGGCTCTGACTGGGGCTCATGCCACCTTCATCGTGACCAACTACTGGGAAAAGTGCAGCCAGGAACTGGAGGTCAAGCAGGTGAGGGCAGATGGGAGAGGCGTCTTTGACCCTAGTTGATCTGCTTTGCTAGGAGCCAAGCACTGCAGGCCTTCCTCTTCTCAAACCACCTGTAACCTTTAGCACCAGAACCCTGGGAGGCAAACTACGTGGAGACCACAACAGAGTGGACAATCTCTGGGTGAAACAAATTGTGTGTGTGTGTGTGTTGACTCTGGGGCTTGAACTCGGGACCTTGGCACTGTCCCTTCGTTTTTTTCATTCAAGACTATCACTCTACTACTTCAGCCATATTTCCATTTGTGGCTTTTTAGTGGTTAGTTGGAGATACAAGTCTTACAGATTTGCCTTTCCAGGATGGCTTCAAACCTTGATTCTCAGATCTCAGCTGAGTGGGTAGGATTACAGGTGTGGGCCATGGGCACCCAGACAAATCTCATTGTAGTCCTTGAAAACCTGTGTGAGCATCCAGGATCTACTGTGGTAAATGACCATATTTGTGGTCTTTTTATTTTGTTTTTTTCTTTGTTGTTGGTGATGGTGGTCATGGGGCTTGAACTCTGGGCTTGGATGCTGTCCCTCAGCTCTTCAGCTCAAGGCAAGCGCTCTACCACTTGAGCTACAGCGCCAGTGGTTTAGTGGAGATAGGAGTCTCACAGTCTTTTCTGCCCGGGCTGGCTTTGAACCATGATCCTCAGATCTCAGCCTCCTGAGTAGCTAGGATGATAGGCATGAGCCACCAGCGCCCAGCCATATTTGTGTGGTTTAAAATCACAGCATACTCATACTCCCTCTCCAAAGGCCCTAGAGGGGGAGAATCTTTCCTCACCTCTTCCACCTTCAGTAGCTCCAGGCATTCTTTGGCTTGTGACTGTATCACTCCAACTTCTGCCTGTCTTCATATGGTCTCTTCATGTGTCTTCTCTTATTCCCTTTTTTGAGTTGTTTTCAAGATAGAGTCTTGCTTTATGCCCAGGTTGGACTGTCATCCTATTTGTGCAGGTGTGCACTTAAGCACCAAGTCACTGTGCTTACCCTATAGCTTAGGAGGAAAAGTCTGCACTACCAGTGCCCAGCCATTGTCAAGATGGGACTCCTTCTTGACTTCATGAACTCCATGAGACTTCATGAACCTTTTTTGCCCAGGCTGGGCTTGAACTGAGATCTTCTGATCTCCATGTCCCAGGTAGCTAGGATCATAGGCTTGAGACACTGCAGCCAGCTTTGTTTTTGAGATAGGGTTTTGAACTAATTTTGGCCTATGCTAGCCTTTGACCATGATCATCCTAGCTGTATCTCCTGTATAGCTGGGATTCTTTTTTTTTTTGGGTCCGGTCGTGGGGCCTGAACTCTGGGCCTGGGCGCTGTCCCTCAGCTCTTCAGCTCAAGGCTAGTGCTCTACCACTTGAGCCACAGCGCCACTTCCGGCTTTTTTCTTTTTGCTTATGTGGTGTTGAGGAATCAAACCCAGGGCCTCGAGCATGCAAGGCAAGCGCTCTACCACTGGGCCACCTTCCCAGCCCAGCTCCTATATAGCTGGGATTCTAAGTGTATAACTACCATGCCTAACTCCTGACTTTTATTATAATTATTAGCATTATTAAATAGTTGTACAAAGGGGCTATAATCCCTTAAGTCAGGTTTTGAGTACAATGTTTCTTGGCCAATTCCCCCCCGCCCCCCCCCCGTCTTCATTTTCCCTGTCCTTTCCTTCCCAAGTTATATAATGTATATTGACTATAATGACTATAGTTACTCACCCTTCCTCTCTCCATTCCTGTGGCACCCCCCTCCCTGTGCCCATGTTTCAAAACATATTTTCACTTCCTGGTATTTGTTTTGATAAACAGTATTTATTTTTTCTAGTTCTGGGGCTTAAAGTCAGGGCCTCTTGCTCAGCTTTTTTTTTGCTCATGGCTGGAGCATTATCACTTGAACAATTCCTCCAGTTCTTTTTGCTGGTTAACTGGAGATAAGAGTCTTATGGGACACTATGTTGAAAAATGAACTTTACAACTTGGGGAGGGGGAGTTGGGGAGGTGGAAGGGATGGTAGGGGAAAAACAAAGAAGGTAACAATGCTTGATAGGAAAAGTACTCATTGCCTTACTCATGTAACTGTAACCCCTCTGTAGGGTATTTTTACAATAAAAAATGTATTAAAAAGTCTCATGGATTTATCCGTCCAAATTAGCTTCAAACTTCAGTTCTGCATAGCATATGGAATTATAGGCAAGAGCCAGTAGTGCCTCTTTGACTCTTGTAAGGACACTTGTATTGAATTAATGGTTAATCTAGGATGATCTCATCTCAAGATCCTTGGTGACATCTCCAGTGACCCTCTCTCAAAATAAAAAATCCTTACTTAGGAGGCTGAGATCTGGGATCGCAATTTGAAGCCAGCCTGGGCAGGAAAGTCCATGAGACTCTTATCCCCAGAAAACCAGAAGTAGCGCTGTGGCTCAAGTGGTAGAGCGCAGCCTTGAGCACAACGAGGCTCAGGGACAGTGCCCAGGCTGAGTTCAAGCCCCATACCAACAAAAATAAATAAAAGATCCTTAGGTTTCACAGATTTCTTTCAGAGATGGTCACATAATCTTAACAGCCAGGCTCATTGCTGAGTTTGACCAGTGGGGTCTTAATCTTGTGATCTCTCCTGTCCACCAGGGAAAGCTGTTGGCAGATCTGGCCAAGCGCCTGGGCCTCCACTATGTGGTCTACAGTGGCCTGGAGAACATTAAGAAGCTGACGGCAGGGAAGCTGGCAGCAGGCCACTTCGATGGCAAAGGGGAGGTGGAGGAATACTTTCGAGACATCGGCGTTCCCATGACCAGTGTGCAGCTGCCCTGCTATTTTGAGAACCTCCTCTCCTACTTCCTGCCCCAGCGAGCCCCAGATGGAAAGAGCTACTTGTTGGGTGGGTTCCCCCACAACTCACAGTTCTCACCCTGTGAAGCTGCAGGTGTAGCTGAGAGGTGTAACTTGTCATTAGGGTAGTCCTGGTGCAGGCCCTGACTCTCTCTCATTACGTGCGAGCTCATCCTCATGTGCAGGCACTAGCACTGGCAGAGAGCTAGGGGAGCCCTAGCCCATGGAAAGTAGAATCTGGAACCACTAGTAGGCCACTGGCATGGTCCTTTGTAGTTTGCAGAACTATTGCCAGGAATTTATGTCTCTTTGTTGGGCTCCATCCCCCTGGGTTCTTGGGTGATTTGGACAGACCACTTTTCCAGGGTGAGGAAGACTGGTGGATGCTGAAGTGCTATTGTCATCACACCTGGACGCTGACCAGGCTGATGGATGCAGGTTCCTAGAGGACTGACTGCTGAGAAAACCAGTCCCAACCCCCACAGAGGTACTCTGTCCCTGCTAGCACATCTCTCTGTCCCCACAGACCTACCCATGGGTGACGTCCCCATGGATGGCATGGCTGTGAGTGACCTGGGTCCTGTGGTACTTAGCCTGCTGAAGAAACCAGAAGAGTACGTGGGGCAGAACATCGGGCTCAGCACCTGCAGGCATACTGCCGAGGAGTACGCCACACTGCTCACCAGGCACATCGGCAAGACTGTACACCATGCCAAGGTGGGCTGTCCCCTCCCCAGGGCTGTGTGTTCCAGCGCCTGCCAGGCAGGGCTACTTGAATCCCAAAGGAACTTTTGGGGGTTTGTAAGAAAGGAGTCTGTAGGGTTTATGCAACCCTCTTAACAAGGCAAATCTAAATTCATAGTCAGGGTGAATGTCTGTGTCATGCTGTTGCTGGGAGCTAAGTGTAGCCAGAGTGAAATTTTTGCCTTAGAGGTTTTGACCAAGGTGGGGGATAGAAATTTCTGCAAGAATGGACAGCAGTCCTGGCTGGACAAAGGCCTGACCTGTCCTCTACTGTGCCTGAATGGGTAAAACAGGAAGTTCCCCTACCCTCACTTTTCTCACAAACTTTCATGCCTTGGCTGGCTTTGAACCATGATGCTCAGATCTCAGCCTCCTGAGTAGCTAGGATTACAGGCGTGAGCCACCGGCGCCTAGCTCCCTCAGGCTTCTTGTTCAGACCCCTGAGTGCCTTGTTTCTTTTTAGAAAGTAGGACCTACTACTCATGTAAGAAACTGAAAAATACCAAGTTTTTGCAGCTCCCACTCAGACCTAAGCAGAACCACAGAGGGAAAAGGAGGGATGGAGGGCCCAAGCTTCTAGATTCACATCCAGGTTCTAGCCCTAATCCACCAATGTGTGAGCATGGTAAGTCCCTGGCCTCCCTTATTCATAAATGGGTATATACAGTCTATCCCCATGGGTGGCTGAGGATTAACATGGTAGTTTGTGTTAGAGCTTTCTTAGCACTTTCAAAGGAAACTTTGAAATGGACACTAAGGAGTCAAGTTACATTTTTTTTTTTTTTAAGAGGGCTTAGGTCAGGGTTGTGAAGATTTGAAGATTCACTTCTGTAGGGAAAGGCAACCGTTTTGACTTTTGAGCTAGAAAGTGATGTTGCATTTTCTACTGTTTTGAAAGGCTTTCATTTTATGATTTTGAAAGAAGATCTAAACCAACTAATATCAAATAGATCTCCAGGGATACTGGCTTCCAAACTTTTTATCTTTCTAGTACAAAATTTTCACATGACTGCAGACTATGGCCAACAGCGACTGGGGGCAGGGTGGGAAGCAGGTCTAGCTTCTCCCCACATTGGAGACAAGATGGAGCAACATGGGTTTTCTGTTTCCAGACAACTCCTGAAGACTATGAGAAACTTGGCTTCCCTGGGGCCCGTGACCTAGCCAACATGTTCCGTTTCTATGCCCTGAAACCCGACCGAAACATCGAGCTGACCCTGCACCTCAACCCCAAGGCCCAGACCCTAGACCAGTGGTTGGAGCAGCACAAAGGGGACTTTGCCCGGCTGTGACCGGCCTATCTGGAAGCCCCTCTAGTGTGTGTGGGGAGGCTTTAGAGGCACAATCATCTGTCCTGTGTACAAGTTTGTTGTTGTTTTTTTGAAACAAAGCCATTGTTCTTACAGATGGTTTCAAAAAGAAAAGGGCTCTGTCTCTGGGACGTGGGTTGGAGTGGCAGCTGTTGGGCACCGACAGCATGAAAAACCCAGCAGGAGACATGAAATGGCTGGTGTGGGAAGATACTTGTATCTCTCTCTTCCCTGAAATAAAGGGGAAATGGGAGAACTGGCTAGCCAGAAGGTAACTGCAGAGAAGAATATGTTAACGTTTACGTGTGGAGTATTCCACCCTGGCCAAAAGGGACGCCTCAGACTAGCTCCCACCATCCTCGGTACACAGATGTTAGATGTGCACTAGGCACAAAGAGGAGCCTCAGCATCAACAACACCCTGTACGCACCCCTTGCATCTCCAGAGCCAGTGGCCATCTGCACATTTATTTTGAATAGTGACAGACTTGGAAGGGAAAGAAAAAATTAGAAACCCCTCTCCTTTTCCCTTTCTGTGCATCTGATATAGCCCAAGATGGACAGAACTTTCACAATAGTCAGGAGGGTGGGAGGGAGGATGGCAAAGTTGTAGACCACAGGACAATGGTGCTGCCTACAGCGAAGACCATTGTGGTGAACCAACTCCAACTTGGCTCCTTTTGAAGAACACAAGTTACCTGCTGAGATTCCATGATCAGTGAATGTTAACCTGTGTATGAGTTTGTGTAATCACTATCAAACTCCACCCTGACCTATGAGCTGAGGTATAAAAGGAGTAGCATCCCCATGAGATTTGTTCTACATCTAGAAAACAGGCATTTCCTTGACACAAAAAAACAACTTATACCCTCTGCCTTTAGAAGTTTATATGGTGAGAAAGCCAAATAGAAACAGAGTAGACACAGTTGACACCAGGGCTGCAAAAGACCAGGCCAGAAAGCCGGGCACCAGTGGCTCATGCCTGTAATCCTAGTCATTCAGGAGGTTGAGATCTGAGGGTTGCAGTTCAAAGCCAGCACAGGAAGGCAAGTCTGTAAGACTCTTATCTCCAATAAACCACTAGAAAACCGGAAGTGGCACTGTGTTCATGGTAGAGCACTATCCTTGAGCACAGAGGCTCAGGGACAGTACCCAGGACCCAGAGTTCAAGACCCAAGACAGACCAAAAAAAAAAAAAAAAAAGCCATACAATGGATTGTTTTTACTATACTGTGTAATGACATTCTGATTCATTCTATAGCATAGATAAGCCTGATGAATATTAATTGAAAGAAGTCAGATTCAAAGGATCACATGTATAGGAAATGTCCAGAACAGGCAAGTCCACACACAGAAAATAGAAGATGAACCATCAGAGACTAGGGGGCACCAGAGAGCCAAGAATGAGTGAATGCTAACCCACACAAGGTTTCTTTGTAGAGTTCTAAAATTGGTGATGTTCAATCAATGTGAACTAAAAGCCTTCATTATATACAAATTTAAAGTATGTGAAAGATATCACAACAGCGTTATTGCCGGAGAGATGATGTTAGTAAGATCCCTGTGTAAAAGCCTAGTATCTGAGCCAGGTACTGGTGGCTCGTACTTGTAATCCTAGCTACTCAGGAGGCTGAGATCTGAGGATGCTGGTTCAAAACCAGCCTGGGCAGGAAAGTTGGTAAGACTTATCTCCAATAAACTACTCAGAAAAAGCTGGAAGTGGTACTATGGCTCAAGTGGTAAAATGATAGCCTTGAGACAAAAGAAGCTCAGGGAGAGTGCTTAGGCCCTAAGTTCAAGCCCCAGGACCAGCAAAAACAAACAAGTGTTTTGGTTCTCCTAGAAAGGCCAAACTCAAAGGACTGGGTTTGGAATCCCCAAGAATCCCTTAGGCTGGAGGAGGAACAGGTGACTCCAACAGACAGGGCACCTGGTCTGTACCTCTTCTCACTGTATAGACACAGGTGCAGGCCATGTCCTTGGCCACATGACTGTAAATCTACCTTACTCTATTATGTAAAGATCCTGACCCTTTAAGAGTGTCATGCTTGGGCTGGGAAGGTGGCTCAATGGTAGAGCGCTTGCCTTGCATGCATGAGGCCCTGGGTTTGATTCCTCAGCACCACATAAGCAGAAAAAAAAAAAGCCAGAAGTGGCGCTGTGGCTCAAGTGGTCGAGTGCTAGCCTTGAGCTGAAGAGCTGAGGGACAGCACCCAGGCCCAGAGTTCAGGCCCACGACCGGATCCCCCAAAAAAGAGTGTCATGCTAAACAAGCAGAATTCTAGCTAGAAGATACAGAGTATGTGTTTAATGATGCTTAACAAGCAAGAGTATTTAAACAAACCATCAGAGATGTTTTCATCTGCCTCAGAGCCAGCCCAAGGATACACAGCAGGATAGGCCAGGGCAGTTTTGGCACAGAGGTGGCAAGGCTTGTGGGACTAGCAAAGGTTCTGGTTTTTGTTTTTTGTGTGCAGCCCAGGCTAGCCTGGAACTCGTTCATGCTTCTCTTGCCTCAGCCTCCTGAGTGCTAGGATTACAAACCTATCACCAAGCCACTATGCTTGGTGAAAAGGATTCTAGTCTGCTGAGGGGTTTTGATGATGGGGAAGGGCGCAAAGGTCTGAGAAGGCAGGAGCTGAAGGCTAATTCCCCAAGAGGCCACTTTGTCCACTCCATTACTATACCTGTCCCAATGGATCCTCCTAAGATTTCAGCAAAGGCTGAACAGCCATCTACCTTCTCCCTATTTGTAATCCCCAGAGGTCACGGGCCTAGAAACAACCTTTTTAAAAAAAAATTACTTATTTATTTTGCCAGTCCTGGGGCTTAAACTACAGGGCCTGGGCACTGTCTCTGAGCTTCTTTTGCTTACGTCTAGCACTCTACCACTTGAGCCATAGCACTGTTTCCAGCTTTTTCTGATTATGTGGTACTGGGGAATCAAACCCAGGGCTTGATGCATGCTAGGCAAGCACTCTTACCACTAAGCCACATCCCTAGTCCTGAAACACCTTTATTTTAAATATACCATATTGCACACTAGCTCAGAGGGCACAAAGAAGTCTGGAATCAAATGCTTAGAAGCTACATGTAGAAATGAACATGAAAGCAGAAGTCTGTAAATGTTGTATAGCACCTTCTACCTGAGGAGGCCTCACAGCAGCAATGCTATCCTTCTAGACAGAGGACAACACCTTCCCCCCCCCCTTTGTTTCCCCTTCCACCCCCCCCGTCAAAGCATCCCCCCCCCCCCCCCCCCCCCCCCCCAGTCCGAGGGCATGAACTCTGGGCCTGGATACAGTGTCTAGCTTCTTTTGCTGAAGGCTAGTGCGCTATAATTTGAGCCACAACACCACATCCAGCTTTTTCTGAGTAGTTTATTGGAGCTAAGAATCTCATGTACATTCCTGCCCAGCTGACTTAGAACCATGATCCTCAGATCTCAGCCTCCTGAGTAGTTAGAATTATAGTCATGAGCCACCAGTGCCCAGCTTGTCCCTTAGCTTTTCTGCTCAAGGCCAGCACTCTATCATTTGAACTTTTTGCTGCTTGACTGGCTTTGAACCAGAATCCTCAGATGTCAGCCTCCTGAGTAGCTAGGATTACAAGTGTGAGCCAATGGTGCCCAGCTATACACCTTCTTCTAAAGTCTTCCTAGAATCCCTCTTTCCAAGTACAGAAGTAAGACTCTTCCCACAGACCTATGCTTTCCTGAGACACTGTCTAACCTCACTGCTTTATCCCCACTCTCTAGAATTGTGTCTGAGCACTATGTGAATGAAATAGGGGAAAATATCTCAAGTTTGAAGAGAATCTCTATTGAGCCTTTCTTATCCACCAGCTTTTGTGTGTGTGTGTGTGTGTAAGAGAGAGAGAGAGAGAGCGCACTAAGGCTTTCTTGGAAGCACAGGTGGGTTAAACTCATCAAACTCTCAGTGGCTTACATCTATAATCTTATCTACTCAGGAAGCTGAGACCTAAAGGATAGTGGTTTGAAGTCAGCCTGGACAGAAAAACCTATGAGGCTTCCTTTCCAAAATAATCAGCAAAAAAACAGGGCTAGTGGGGCTGGGAAGGTAGCTCAGTGGTAGAGTGCTTGCCTTGTATGCATGAGGCCCTGGGTTCTATTCCTCAGCACCACATAAGCAGAAAAGGCTGGAAGTGGTGCTGTGGCTCAAGTAGTAGAGCGCTAGTCTTGAGCTGAAGAGCTGAGGGACAGCTCCCAGGCCCAGAGTGCAGGCCCTGCAACTGACAAACAACAACCAGGGCTGGAGGATTCACTCAAGTTGTAGAGCACACAAGGTCTTGAGTGTAACTACAAAAATAGGTGAAAACTTTCTGAAGGTAATGAAGGAAAAGGAGCCAATGTACATCTTAGCACAGACTCTCCAAGTCAGCCAGGTGCGAGAGCATTTGCACAGGAGAATACTGTTCGATGGGGTACCCTGCTTTGGGTTTGGGCAGTGGGGGAACAATACTGTCAAGACACTATACCAGCTAAGCTGCAGGGGAGTAACCTTGTGGAGGAAGGCAGCTGACCCTCCAGTCACCCCCTGTGGGACTGCCTGCAGGTTGTTTGAACTCTTTCAAAGAAGAAATGACCACAATGTAGGTTTTAAATATCTTTTGCAGTAAATAATCTTATTTACATTGATACAGAATCATTTTACATTCTTGAGTCAGACGCTAATAGTGCTTTACTTTTGTAAATTATAAACGAAAATACAAAGGAGGCTACTGAGAAAGTGTTCTTCATTATCCTCTCTTATGCTAGTGCTCAAAACCTTGAAACACATGGACAATGACATGTTACCAGTATGAAGCTACTGCTACCAGGCTGAGGATGGATTGTGTACTCTAGCTGCACGGTGGGAGCCTTCACTGGCTCACACTGCACTCTGCTCTCTTGAGCAGACCTTCACATAGGAAAAAGACAATGATTCATAGCATAGCATTGAGTAATTTAAACACACAGTATAAGTGGGGAGAACGAAACCCTCCCAGCACAGCTCCAAGAACCCATAGCATCTGAAGTCTGCCCTATGGGGCTACAGTGTAGTCAAGTCCTACCACACCAGCAGCAGCTGAGGCAGGTGGCCATGTGAGGTGGGCAGGAGGAAGAACTGTCCTTTGCCTGGCCCCAGTACCCGCTTTCCAGCTGCATGGAACCTTGTGGACTAAGAACACACTCCAAGAGGAGAAACATGCGTTGGCAGAGCCTACTGGGAGAGAGCTGACCTGGTAGGGTGTGCAGTCCTCTGTTCCTGAAGACAACCTGTCAGGAAGGACTTTTTCCAGAACCTCTAGGAACTTGCTGAGAGGAAAATTAATCACATCACAACTTGATGCAGCTTAAGGCTTCATTTTTAAGCAGTAAGCATGGCCTTTAATTTTTTTTTTTTTAACTAAGATCACCATATTTGATTCCAAATTAGAGTTTTACTACTGCAAGAAGAGTCCAAGTGTCTTACCCTGCCTAAGCCAGAAGTGGAGAATCTTCTACTGGTGGACAGAAAACTTCTACCAGCCCTCGGGTGCTACATGTCACTGCCCATGGCTGCCTACTGTGACCTTTCTATGCAGAGGTGTTGTCACATGGTTGTGCTGTTGCCGGGCGGTCTGGAGGGCTCTGCAGGCAAAGGCTCAGTGCTGTTGCTCTGGGATCCTCCTATCTCCGAGGTCCTGGCCATGAGAGAGGCTACTGCTTCCAGCCTAGTTTCCAGTGGACCGTTTTCCTGAACCAAGGGGACAAACGGTTACATTTCACAGTTCACAGAACACACTCCTGTCCTGTCAGAGAGCTTCCATTAATCCCTGGAGAGCACCAGGAGTGCACAGGAGAACACATAGTAGTACATTTCAAAACACCATAGTGTGCAAGTACTACCCCCACAGCAGCCCCAGAGTTGGCACAACGCTACACTGCCCAGGCAATGGGAAACAAGCAGGAGGTGGAGGAGATCTGAGTTCTAGGCTTGGTTCTGCCATACGCAATTCACTCTTCGTGACCATGGGCAAGCTGATCCCACCGCTAGGATGGAGAGCCCCTGGGAACTGGCTTAAGGAGGGTCAAGTGGCAGCCCCCAAAATACAAATTCCCCAGGTAGGAATTTGAAGCAGCCTGGTCAGCCCTATGCTGGCTGACTGTGCCACATTCTCTTCCTACTGGCTAAGAAGATGCCAGATTCATCACTATTTTCAACTGGTACCTCTTGCAAATCCTGGGGTGGGTGGGGTTGAATAAAATGTTAAAGTGAGACAAAAGGGGATTAGTTCACAGAGGGAAACAAAGGAAGAAACCTCACAGGTTTTCCTACCTCAGCTGGGATGGGTATCAGGAGATAAAAATTTTCTTAAGTTTGGAAAGGAATCCCTCTTTGTCCTCCCCAGCCTCACGCCTAGCATTGTTTCCTTCGGAGCTATCCATGGTCCTGCCACCTGGGCACAAACAGCAGAAAGAACTGGGGTCAAGGGTGCTCTCTTTCATGTGGCACATCCCCAGCCCCCACCTACCCATGCCTGTGTGCTCAGGCGGTAGCACTCAGTCAAGAAACAAGTAAATGCTACCCCAGAAACAGTGGGAGGTCACTCCCACATTGGCAAGGGCTATCTGAACTGTCTCAACAATTCAAATGGGCTACTCAGAACTCTGTTATCCCAATTCCTCTTCAACTCATGGACCCACAGCAACCAGTTATCTCTAATCTGAACAAAAAGTAAATAATGGAGCCAAATGACAGATGACTTCTAAGCCACGCCACACTACTTACTTAGGGTAGCATTCATTATCATAGATGTGATGTAACAACATGGAGGCACAGTTCAGGTGGCCCCAAAGTCAGTTGGCAGGGGAGCAGATCTGAGTTCAAGTACAAGCAGCCTGAACCTGAAGCTCAGGCTCTTTTCATGCTACTAGCAACAACAGATCCTACTTCTAGGTCCACTACCACATTCCATATGCATGCACTTGTAACGTGCCCGGGAAACGCAGTAAGGAAGTCACTGCCGTGTGAAATCCACTATTGAGTGCACTTCATCCTGTCTACCACGCCAGCAGGGGGCATCTGTGGCTCTAAGCAAAGTCTCTGTGGCTGGCTCCCAACCCTGACTGCTAAAGGTACGAGCAGCCCCAGTGATGGGTCCCCAGGGCCCAGGCCAAGATTACCTACGTAACGCTGCTACACAAGATTCACAATGATTTGCAGTGACGTGCACACCAACATTTAGAACTTACAGGAATACTGAGTAGTGTGCAAATAAAATAGTCATGGTCTCCTTGAACTCATTCTGAGTCAAATGAGGCCTTTCACAGGCCTTTCCAAAGCATGGACAGAAGGGGTAGAAACCTCTGGGTTCTGCACAAGCAGCATAACTGGGGCTCACTTCTCTGACAGGCAAAACTGCAGAGCTCAGGTGTGCCCTTACAGAAAGAACAGCCACCTAAACAGCACTCTCAATAAGGTCTGGATAATTGTCAAAGCTGCAGGGACTGTGTCCAAGTTCCAGAGCTGCACAGAGAAAGATTCAGGCCCTGAACAGCACGCTGAAAAACTGGGGTGCTTTCCTTCAGTTCTTGGCAACCTCTTGCTTACGTAAAGACTTGAGTAACAAAAAGAACCCTTTTGCCAGGTGCGGGTGGCTCACACCTGTAACCCTAGCTCCTCAGGAGGCTGAGATCTGAGGATCGCGGTTCAAAGCCAGCCCGGGCAGGAAAGTCTGTGAGACTCTTATCTCCAATAAACCACTAGAAAACCGGAAGTGGCGCTGTAGCTCAAGTGGTAGAGTGCTCGCTTTGAGCTGAAGAGTGCAGGGACAGCCCCAGGCCCAGAGTTCAAGCCCCACATGGACAAAAAAAAAAAAAAAAAAAAGAGTCCTTTTAACAATCCATAAACTGTACTGGACCTCCTAAGACAGGAAGAGTATGGAATTTTGTCTTACCATTGGTAAGCAGATGGCAAAACTTGGTGAAAGGTATTGTATGTGACACTTGCTTTTTTGATATATGACAAGCACTGTGTTGCAGGCTTTACTCACACAATCTTATTTAACTGCTCAGAAAGCCTATTAAGTGGTATTACTACTGTCCTCGGTTTAGTAACGATGAGGCAGGTTCACAGAGGTAATCTGCCTAAGGCTTCACTGCCAACAATGATAGCTGGGATATAGAACACCCAAGCTCTAAGTGGACATAAAAACACTCAGCAGGCTGAGAATGTGACTTAGTGGTAAAGCACTTGCCTAGCATGCATGAAGCCTGGGTTTGATTCCTCAGTAACACATAAACAGAAAAAGCTGGAAGTAGCACTGTGGCTCAAGTGGTAGAGTGCTGGTCTTGAGCAAAATTAGCTCACAGAAGTGCCTAGGCCCTGAGTTCAAGCCCCAGGACTAGCAAAAAAAAAAAAAAAAAAACACCTACTCAGCATCTGCCACTCCCACCTCCCCCAACTCTGCCACCCCACCACAACCAGGAAGTGGTTTGTGCCTCATAACTATAGATACACCACAGCCAGAGTGGTTGAAGTCTGCAAGAGTTAAAATAAGCACCTGGTTAGCTAGTAGGTGGTTCAAGGAGTAGAACAAAAAATGCCAAACAAGCTAGACATGGTGATGCATGCCTAAAACCCCAAACAAAATAATGCAAGGAGGTAGAAACATGTGCAGCTGAGGTAATGACTCCTGGGTGCAGCCTGACCTGACTTGAGCAAGGTCCCCATCAACGGAAGAGCCTACCTCCCGGAAGGGGGCCAGTGGCCGCCAATGCCATCATCAAGCAGGCAGCTCCAGCAGGCAGGGGAGCTGATGGCAAGTCACCAATGTTCAACTAGTCTCCCAATACAGCATGACATCTGAAGTAACGTGCCTGTACACTGCAGGAAGAAGTCAAAGCTAGCCTGCTCTAAAAGACAGAGTCCTCTCCAATACAGTTTTCACTGTGGCTTGCAAACATCCTGGTGCCCCAGCAAGATGTTCAGGGTAGGGAATGTACAAACCCATCCAAGTCACCTCCTTAAGCTGTTACAAGAAGCTCTCATGGAGGAAAGTGCCCAGTCACAAGGGAAGTGGCAGAATCAAGGCTAGAAATCAGAACACTTGCTCTGAGACACAGAGCTGCCTGGAGAGGAAGTACTCCAGCACCTCCTTGGCACATGAACACAAGCTAAGAATGGGAGAGAAGCTTTCATAGGGAGGGGAGATTCGAGACTTCTCTCTGGCTGTTCCTGCCCATACCTCCCTCTCTCAGTAGTGCTTCTGGGGGGCTTCATGAAGCCTGACTGGAAACTGCAACATTTCGCTCCAAATTATTCACCCTCCAAGGGACTACGAAGCTCCCTTATGCCACCATGTCACCTCCAGACCCCTTACCGGTGCTTGTGTGGGTCACGCCATTCACTGTCCCCTCCACATCTGTCTCGTCCTCAGCGTAGCTCAGAATCAGGCTCTGCTGCCGGCTGGTGAGCCTCCTGTGGACCCAACACAACAACAGTGCTTCCTCTGGGCATCACCACACAGACAGACAAGTTGCTGGTCTGGGCAGGAGCGTACCCACAGCCAGTAATAAGAACCTGAGGGCCAGGGACTCAAAGCTCCCAAAGTACACCAAGTCATTTAAACAACTGTCGAAGTGGCAATGCTGCCACAGTTATACGAGGGGCCTACAAGTAAGCATGTAATGAAGCAACAGGCAGGAGACTATGGAAAGGATGAGTGCTGGAAACCAGCCTCCAAGCGAAGCCAGTGCACACCTAGTTTTGGTGTATACCCAGCCTTAGTGCATACCCAGCCTTGGTGCCCACAGCATTCTGCCCATAGCAACTCAGTAGCAGCTAAGCATCTTCTATGTGTTATTCACATCATTCCCCCACAATTCAGTGAGGCTGACCTCTGGTATGTCTACTCCACAGATAGGGAACCTGGGCTACACACACCTGATGCCCAAGACTGGGACTCATAGGACCCTGAACTGTTGGCATAGGGCTTGGCAGGTGACAGGCTCGGAGGGTGCCTGGAGCATTGTGTGTAGGGAGGGTGCAGGGGGTAGGCTTGGCCACTGAGCTAGAGAGGACACTTACTTTGGAACTCTGATCTTCACGTGAATGTAATGATCACCATAACCATAGCTGTTTATCCGGGGTATGCCTTTCCCAGTCAATCGAATCTTCTGGTCTGTCTGAATTCCAGGGGGAATCTATATTGAAAGGAAAGCAGTACATTCCTTGGTCACCACTACCCAAATGTAAGCCATTTCACTACACAAAAACAATCCTGAAAGGACTCAAGGAAAAAAAGACTGCATTCAGGAGTATGGAGCAAGCCCATCAGTAACCATGAAGGCAATGGCTGAGTTGCAACCAGAACTTGAGAGCAGGAGTTATGTGGGGTGAGCCCCGGAAGCAGAAGTGAGGGTCAAAGCACTGGACACAGGGATAGAAAAACACAACTCAGGATCCAAGGCTGAGCTTGCTCTAGGGCCCTCACGGGGCTGGAAGGCATGGACAGGGATGACCCTTGGATAGAGGCAGCAGTGTGTCCACAGTGTCCACTCCATGGACAGGGGTCACCCCAAAATCCCCACACCGAGTCTGGAGAAAACCCTAGGTAAATGCTAACAGTGGTGGGACCTGGAGATAGAGGAGAGAGGTTCAGGTGGAACAAGAGGCTGTGTACTACTGCTGAAACCTGAGCGGAGGAGACATAGCTCCTGAGGATCTGCTACCATCATCAGACCCTGAGGAAGCAGACGCAAAGAGCACCAACTTCAACAACACACCTCTGTGTCACAGTTTCTGGGATTGCTAACCAGCAAAGGAGGGGACCCAAGTCAGGAACTGCTTTAAATGGCAATACACCAAGGCCTGGGCTTATGATTCTCACAAGGAATAACCTAAAGCTTCTAGTGTCCACCCCAGGCCTCTTCTCTCAGAATCATTGACAGGCTAGATAGAGGCTTACAAGTCTCATTTCCCACTTCAAAGAAAAAGTTGCTGGGTATTGTCTCATGCTTATAATCCTGGCTACTCAGAAGAGTGAGATAGCCTGGTCACAAATGTTTGTGAGACCCCCCCATGTCAAATAATAAAAAGTTGGGTATATGGTGAAACACACCTGTCATCCCAGCTTACAAAAGCATAAAGAGAAAGATTGTGGTATAGAATTGCCTGGGAAAAAGTGAGATCTTATTTGAAAAATAATAAAATCAGAAAGGGCTGGGAACATGTGTCAAGTGCTAGAGTACTTGTCCACAAGTTTTCAATTCTAGTACTGCCAAAAGAAAAAAGAAAAAAAAAAGGCGCAACAAAATACTGCTGGCAATGTCATCCTTGTACCCTCTTACCGTCACATTGATGGTCTCGTACAGACCCTGGGCTCTTGCTGTCCCCCCAAGAATAGCCTGAGCTATTGAAATAAAAAGGTCGGAGTGGATATCTGCGCCGTCCCTCTGGAATATAGGGCTTTTCTGTACCTGAGGCCAAAACACAAGATGATTGTGACCATCACAAAATTCACCGGCATGAGCCACATGGCTTGGCAGGCCTGAGCTTTCTGCACTTACAGCTCAGCACTGAGAAAGACCTGCATATCACCAATGTGTGCTAGCCCCTCACAGCTCTGGAGGGGACACAGCCTCCATACTTGCACACTGCAGAGGAACAACATCTACCCCTTCCTCACAGTGCCCAATTGGAGAGGGAAGAGAATGAAAATTAGCTTTTTTAGCTTCTTTTTTTTTAAAACTTCTATTGCTTTTGCTATGTATTTCCATGTCCCTAAATACAGTCCATCTCATGTATCTATGACAGCTCTATGGAGATGGTATTTAAGGCAGGAAAGCCTCCCAGGACTCGCTTTCTTCTCTGTTTAATGACAGACAAGGTGACTTGTGCTCTCACCTGTGGCTCTGGTGGTATTCTGATTATTAGCAGCCTTCGCGCTGTCACTCAGCAATTTGCAGACTATTCTCTTATTCAAAACCAGCAAACCGTTGGAATCTTACAAACAGGGCTGTCAAATCACCCCTGTATCTGTCACGTGTAAGTATACCCTATACGTTTACAAGTGTTTTTCTCAGGTACACATCTAGGAGTGTAATTGGTGACAGAAGCCATTACTTTCTTTTTATCTGCATATTATAACATATAAAACTTTAGCTTAGGGGGCTGGGAAGGTGGCTCAGTGGTAGAGTGCTTGCCTTGCATGCCTGGGTTCGATTCCTCAGCACTACATAAGCAAAAAAAAAAAAAAAAAAAGCCAGAAGTGGTGCTGTGGCTCAAGTGGTAGAGTGCTAGCCTTGAGCTGAAGAGCTGAGGAACAGCGCCCAGGCCCAGAGTTCAGGCCCCACGACTGGACCCAAAAAAAAACAACTTTTAGACCTGGGGATGCTTGCAGAGTATGCCAGAGGGCCTGAGTTTAATTTCTGACAACACACACACACACACACACACACAACTTCGTTGTAACTTCTTCCCATCAACAGATCTCTGTATGTTCTTGTGTCTTGTTTCTAACTTGTAAACATCATGAGGAAGCTTTATTTTCACATCAAGCACAAAACCTCCACAAAACAGTTAATAACCACATGAACACAGCCATTCTTCCCTTTAAAAACAGCAACACATGCACCCACAAAACTCAGGCCAACAGCAGCCTCAGAGACACTGGGAGGGCAAAGACCCAACAGAAGGTAAATAGCAAATGCCTACCCTGAATGTGACAAAAATCTCTCGTTTTCCCACGGGCATCCGCACAGTCTGGCCATCCTCAACTCCTAGAAGAATCAAAGTTCCAAAAACAGCAGTTAGGTGGCACCTCATACAACACTGACTTCCCAAACGCCTTGCTCATTCCCAATCCTTGTTAATGGTGGCTCTCATTGAATGAAGACAGAGGGAGGGGAGAGGTGAAAACCACAGACTGGGAGCTGCTCCTTCACAAGCTGAAGTAGAGTGGGCACATTTTAAAGATAACTGGTACAAAAAAAAAAAAAAAGATTTCAAGAGCCCATGTCTACAATCCTAGCTACTCAGGTGGCTGAGATCTGAGAATTGAGATTCAGAGTCAGCCTAGGCAGACAAATCCAAGAGATTCTTATCTCTAAGTTTAGCAAAATGCCAGAAGTGGAGTCATTGTTCAAGTGGTAGAGCACCAAAAATGAACAAAAAAGCCAAATGAGAGCAAGAGGCCTTCTGTTTAAGACCCAGTACCAGCAAAAGAAAAAGGTGGGGGGGCTGGGAAGGTGGCTCAGTGGTAGAGTGATTGCCTTACATGTACAAGGCCCTGGGTTCCATTCCTCAGAACCACATAGGCAGAAAAAATGGAAGTAGCTTAAGTGGCTCAAGTGGTAGAGTACTAGCCTTGAGCTGAAGAGCTGAGGGACAGCGCCCAGGCCAAGAATTCAGGCCCCACAACTAGCTACTCAGGAGGCTGTCTCAGGATCATGGTTTGAAGCCAGCCCAGACAGATAAGTCCAAGACTCTTATCTCTAATTAACCACCAGAAAACTGGAAGTGTAGTAGTTTTTTTTTTTTTTTTTGGTCTGGTCGTGGGGCATGAACTCTGGGCCTGAGCACTGTCCCTCAGCTCTTCAGCTCAAGGCTAGCGCTCTACCACTTGAGCCACAGCACTACTTCCGGCTTTTTGCTTTTTGCTTATGTGGTGCTGAGGAATCGAACCCAGGGCCTCATGCATGCAAGGCAAGCACTCTACCACTGAGCCACCTTCCCAGCCCCTAGAAGTGTAGTAGTTCAAAGTAGTAGAGCACTAGTCTGAGTACACAAGCTCAGGGACAGTGCCTAGACTCTGAGTTCAAGCCCCAATATCAACATAAACAAATAAATAAAATAAAATAAAAGATTCTAGGAGATTTTAGCTCTTTCTCTAGCCTGAACTCCAGGGCCTCAAACCAAGCTCCTGCCAGATCACACAGGGCTCAGTGGGCCTGGCCATCTCCTGAACATGGGGCGCTCTGGGACCCACCTGCAGGCACAGGGATCACCACTCGCTTCTTCTGCTTGGCTTGTCCTGTTCCTCTACAGATCACACAAGGATTTGTGATAATAGAGCCTCGGCCACCACATCTCCTACATGTGGAACGCATCACAAAAGGGCCAGTATTGATGGTTTCCTAATGAATATGAGGGGGGAAAAACGGTAAGCAGGCAAGTACACTGACTCCTGAGAGAAATGTTTGGCTGAAGGCTTTTCTGGTGTGCACGTGCACCTAAAGAATACTAAGAACGGGCTGGGAAGGTACCTCAGTGGTAGAGTGCTTGCCTCGCATGCATGAGTCCCTGGGTTCAATTCCTCTGTACCACATAAACAGAAAAATCTGGAAGTGGTACTGTGGCTCAAGTAGTAGAACACTAGCCTTGAGCTGAAGAGCTGAGGAACAGTGCCCAGGCCCAGAGTTCAAGCCGCACAATGGACAAAAAAAAAAGAATACTAAGAAGCCAGGTGCTGGTGGTTCACGCCTGTAATCCTAGCTACTTGAGGAGGCTGAGATCTGAGGATCACGGTTCAAAGCTAGCCCAGGCAGGAAAGTCCGTGAGACTCTTATCTCCAATAAACTACTTAGAAAACCTCAGAAGTGGTGCTGTGGCTTAAGTGATAGACCGTTAGCCTTGAGAACAGAGAGGCTCAGGCACAACGCCCAGGCCGAGTTCAAACCCCACGACCAACAAAAAAGAGATCATATTGTCTGTTTGAACTTGTAAATACAGACTTTACAACCAATTTTTTTTTTTTTTGGGTCCAGTCGTGGGACCTGAACTCTGGGCCTGGGCGCTGTCCCTCAGCTCTTCAGCTCAAGGCTAGCGCTCTACCACTTGAGCCACAGCACCACTTCCAGCTTTTTTCTTTTTGCTTATGTGGTGCTGAGGAATCGAACCCAGGGCCTCAGGCATGCAAGGCAAGCGCTCTACCACTGAGCCACCTTCCCAGCCCTACAACCAAATTTTTATAGTTCAGTTTTAAATATTCTTTCCATGTCTTTTTGGCTATGTAGATTATGGTGGCATTAAACACTTGATCTCCTACTTCAGCCTTCCGAGTGTTAGCATTACAGGGTTGAGTTACCATACACAGCTAAATAATTTATATCATTACATATTCTGAAATCCTTCCTTCCTGCCATTAAGGATCAAATCTAGGACTTTGCACATACTAAGCACATGCTCTAACACTTTTAAATATTGAGAATCTTTAAGCAGAAATGTTTTCCACATTATATGGATTAACAATTCTAAAATGGTTAATTCTTTAATGTGTGTTATATGATGGAGAAAATGATTAAATATTTTGGGGATAATCACAGCCAGGTTTATCTTTGTTAAAAACTGTAAGCTGGGGACTGGGAAGGTGGCTTAGTGGTAGAGTGCTTGCCTCTCATGCATGAGTTCCTTGGTTCAATTCCTCAGCACCACATAAATAGAAAAAGCTGCAGGTGGCAGTGAGGCTCAAGTGGTAGAGCACTAACCTTGAGCTGAAGAGCTGAGGGACAGTGCCCAGGCCCAGAGTTCAAGCCCCACGACCAACCAAAAAAAAAAAAGTAAGCCAGGCACCGGTGATTCATGCCTATAATCCCAGCTACACAGGAGGCTGAGATCTGAGGATCACAGTTTGAAGCCAGCCAGGGCAGAAAAGTCCATGAGTTTCTTATCTCCAATTAATCACAGAAAAAGCCAGAAGTGTGCTGTGGTTCAAAGTGGTAACATGCTAACCTTGAGCAAAAGGAGCCCAGCGTTCAAGCCCCAAGACTGCCCCCACCCCCCAAAAAAAATTAAGTGTGAAATGATTAGGTTAAATTCAGTCTGTGATGCACATATGTGCACATGTATATCTATAGCATTTGAACAGACAGATAAGGAAAGAAATGCATGTCTATACAAAATACTGACTCAGTGACTGAGAGGGCTGAGGGGCAGTCTTGTAATAGGAGCAATTAGTACTTCCAGGTGTAGATCTTGGTTTCTGGCCCATCATATACTAAGCAGAACCAGGGCTCGGTGGATAGGGCTAACTGCAGTATTGATAGTGCAAGTTCAGCTTAATAAACTTTGTTAAAAGGCAAGGTAAGAAAGTGCTGAACCTATGGTCAGAAGACAACACAAGGACATAGGACCAGATGGAAGGGACTTCAAAAGGCCAAATCAGGGACAATTTAAACACTGAAGTAGGGCTGGGAAGGTGGCTCAGTGGTACAGCGCTTGCCTTGCATGCATGAGGCCCCAAGATCGATTCCTCAGCATCACATAAGCAAAAAAGAAAAAAGCTGGAAGTGGTGCTGTGGCTCAGGTGGTAGAGTGCTAGCCTTGAGCTGAAGAGCTGAGGGACAGCGCCCAGGCCCAGAGTTCAGGCCCCATGACCGGACCCCAAAAAAAATAAAATAAAATAAACACTGAAGTAACTATACTGACTATAACATAGGAAAAATCCTTGAACTCATACAGCTATAAATAAATAAATAAACAAAGATGAAAAGAAAAGCAGCATACCATCAATGACAAAAAAGCAAAGGGGGCCAAATGCTTCAAGTGGGTGCATCTGAATAAAAGGAGAGAGAATGATGATACTTGAAGTAAAATCTTAATCCTGATTTTCAAATTCTCTGTATTTCCCAAAGTACATTTTCTAAGACAATGGTTTCCTTTTGCCATCTGTACTGTTGTCATGGACAGAGAACTAGTGCAAAGTGCAGAAGGTTCTAGATTTAAATACTCTCTGTAGCTATGAATTTTCAAAGCCTAGGAGTCCTTGAATAAAAACCTATGGGAGCACATAAAAACAGAGCGGTGTAAGTAGCAGGATTAGGTGGTAGGAGGGTGGGGAGCCTGCAGGGAAGACGGGGCACACCCTTACCATGCCTGAGCCACCACAGTAGTGGCAGTGCTGCACCTTGGTGCCAGGCTCATTGCCCTTGCCATCACAGCGCTCACAGGTGTCCATGATGTTCACGGTGAACTCCTTGTTGACACCCTTGGCAGCCTGGTTGAATGTCAATTCCATGATGTACTTTAAAAAAAAAAAAGAAGAAGCATGGCTTGTCAGTCTTTCCTTGACAATAATCACTGGGATGTACCATTTGAGGACAGAAAGGCACTGACTACCACTTGCAGCTACTCTGTCTCTACTACTGTTCTTATGTAAGTCTCCCAGGCAAGAATGACTGGGACTCAGTTGGCAGGTTTTGTTCTACTTCTCAGGAATTTTTTTTTTTTACTTCTCAGGAATTTTAACAGATAATATATGTCTTAGTTTCAGTGAAAATTTAGTTTCCTTTTGTGCTTCACAGCCACAAGATGAGCAACTATATTCTACCATGCATTCCTCATTGGGATATGAGGTCAAGTCAGAGGCCTAAAAACAGTGGGGCCATATATATATATATATATATATATATATACAGTCAAATGAATGTGCTCAATATTATCTATAATACTTTTCAAATGTTGGACTTACTTTCCCCCAAAAAGCTACCTCAAAATCATTCCATTTAAGCTGCTTTGCCTCTCTCAGAAAAAGAAACTGACAAAACACTGTTTACATCACCTTTGGAGGAGTCTTCAAAATAAGAAACTTACTTCTTGCGGTTGATCAAACACACTCTGGAAATCTCCAAAGGAAGATGATGAAAACTCCCCAAAGATCTTCCTGAACAGCTCCTCTGGGTCAACAGAGGGCCCCCCCCTCCAATAGCTCTGTCCAGAGCTGCTGGCCCCAGGATCAAAGCCAGCAGAACCGTAGGCATCATACTGTTTCCTCTTCACCTCATCACTCAGAACCTACAAGAAAAGCAGAGTTATCAGGTCTGGGAAGGTTGCTCAGTGGTAGAGTGCTTGCCTCGCAGGCATGAGGCCCTGGGTTCAATTCCTCTGCACCACATAAGCAGAAAAAGCCATAAGTGGTGCTGTGGCTCAAGTGGTAGAACACTAGCTTTGAACTGAAGAGCTGAGGGACAGCGCCCAGGCCCAGAGTTCAGGTCCCACAATTGACCCCAAAAAAAAAAAGCAGAGTTATCAGAAATTTCTGGTTTTTTTGATACCCAGGAACAGTGATAAAATTCACACCAAGTAACCTCACATACAAAAACATTCAGTGGCCGGGCGCTGGTGGCTCACGCCTGTAATCCTAGCTACTCAGGAGGCTGAGATCTGAGGATCGCGGTTCAAAGCCAGCCCGGGCAGGAGAGACCGTGAGACTCCTATCTCCAATAAACCACCAGAAAACCGGAAGTGGCGCTGTAGCTCAAGTGGTAGAACGCTTGCCTTGAGCTGGAGAGCTGAGGGACAGAACCCAGACCCAGAGTTCAAGCCCCACGACCGACAAATAAAAACATTCAGTGAGGGCTGGCACGTAGCTCACTGGTAAAGTGCTTGCCTAACAAGTGCAACATACTGGGTTCGGTCTCCAGTACCAAAACACACACGCACACACGCACGCATGCACGCACACACTTTAAAAACAAACAAACAAACAAAAAACAGCTGGGAAGGTGGCTCAGTGGTAGAGTGCTTGTCTTGCATGCACAAGGCGCTGGGTTCAATTCCTCAGCACCACATAAGCAAAAAGAAAAAAGCCGGAAGTGGCGCTGTGGCTCAAGTGGTAGAGTGCTAGCCTTGAGCTGAAGAGCTGAGGGACAGCGCCCAGGCCCAGAATTAGGCCCCACAACCGGACCCAAAAAAAAAAAAAAAAAGAAGAAAGAGATAAAAAAATAACCAAACCTAGAGTTCCCAAATACAGCCACAATAAATTGCTTAGGGAGTTAAGTCAATGCAAATTTCTGGATTCTGTTCTTCATTGAGATTCCAAGGTAATAGACCTAGTATGAGGTCTTGGAACCCTTTTTTTGGGGGGCGGTCCGGTCGTGGGGCCTGAACTCTGGGCCTGGGCGCTGTCCCTCAGCTTTTCAGCTCAAGGTTAGCGCTCTACCACTTAAGCCACAGTGCCACTTCCGGCTTTTTTCTTTTTGCTTACGTGGTGCTGAGGAATCGAACCCAGGGCCTCAGGCATGCAAGGCAAGCGCTCTACCACTGAGCCACCTTCCCAGCCCCTTGGAACCTTTTTTTCTGTTTTGAGAGTACCAGGGTTTGAACACAAGGCCATGCATTTACTGGGTTTGCATTATTACTTGAGCCATGCATCTAGCACTGCTTTTTTGCTGGAAATGGAGACTAATGGGTTGGCTTCACCTCATGCGGCTCCAGATCTCCACCTCCTGAGCACCTAGGATTATAAACATGAGCCACCAAGACACAGCTATGGCAATTCCTTTCCTTTCTTTTTTTTTTTTTGTCAGTGTGGGGCCTGAACTCTGGGTCTGGGCGCTGTCCCTCAGCTCTTCAGCTCAAGGCAAGCGCTCTACTACTTGAGCTACAGCACCACTTCCTCCTTTTCTTTCTTTATTTACTTTTTTGTCAGTTGCAGAGCTTGAACTCTGGACCTGGGCCTGGACACTATCCCTGAGCTCTTCAGCTTGAGGCACTCTACCACTTGAGCCACAAAGCCACTTTAAGTTTTCTGTGGTTAATTGAAGATAAGAGTCTCAAGAACTTTCCTGCCCTGGGCTTTGAACCATGATCCTCAGATCTCAGCCTCTTTAGTAGCTAGGATTATAGGCGTGAGCCACCTGCGCCCGGCTTGTTTGCTTGCTCCTTTCCTTCCTCCTTTTTCTATTGGAGGTGCTGTACCTAAGCTCTTTTGCTTAAGGCTAGCACTCTACCACTTTGAGCTGCAGTGCCACTTCCAGTTTTTGAGTGGTTAATTGCAGATAAGAGTCTCATGGGGACTTTTCTGCTTAGGCTGGCTTTGAACTTTGATCCTCGGCTTTCAGCCTCCTGAGTAGCTAGGATTATAGGCATGAACCAACAGAACCTGGCCTCACTTTTTTTTTAATAAAATCAACGTGACTTGGTGCCTTCACACTAGACCTCTGACACGCCAGGCCATCCTGTGAACAAAGCAAGCACTGATTCATGGACACAGCTGAACAAAATGACTGCACACATTTACCTCATAGGCTTTTTGAACTTAGGGGCTGGGTAATTTACCTCATAGGCCTCTGCCAGCTGAGAGAATTTTTCCTTGGCTTTGGGATCATCCTTATTTGTATCAGGGTGGTATTTCTTAGCAAGCTAAGGGGAAAAAAATTATTAAAGACATAGAATGGTTACCAAAATAGAGCCCAGAACCCAAATAACAGCCACAGTTATACCTTTTTTGATTTTTGAGACAGGATCTTATTCTGTAGTTCAGAAGAGATTTATACTAACAATCCTCCTACCTCAGCCTTCTGAGTACTGGGATTATAGGCATCCATTACCATGCTCACCCTACAATTATTCTTTATAAATGTTTTGTTTCTGAGCCAGTCACCAGTGGCTCTCACCTGCCACTTCCCAGGAGGCTGAGATCTGAGGATCATGGTTCAAAGCCAGCCTGGGCAAGAAAAGTCAATGAGAATCTTTTTTTTTTTTGGCTGGTCGCGGGGCTTGAACTCTGGGCTTGGCGCTGTCCCTCAGCTCTTCAGCTCAAGGCGAGCTCTATACGGCTTGAGCCACAGCGCCTCTTCCTCAATGAGAGTCTTATCTCCAATTAGTTACTAAAAAGTCAGAAGTGAAGCTGTGGCTCAAGTGGCAGAGTGCAAGTCTTGAGAAAAGAAGCTTGGGGACAGCACCCAGGACCTGAGTTCAAGCCCCAGGACAATCAAAAAAGTTGACTTTCACACTCTAACTTAGCCTTTCCGCTTAAATCTGGTGCTCGTCTACTTGAACCACTGCTCCACTTTCAACTTTTTACTGATTAATTAGAGATAGTCTCTCGAGCTTGTCTGCCCAGGCTAGCCTCAAACCTAAGATCTCAGCCTCCTAAATAGCCAGGATTATGGATTACAAGTGTGAGTCACTGGTGCCCAGTTTACTTTTACGTTTTTGTTTTTTTTTTTTTTTTTGCCGGTTGTGGACCTGAACTCTGGGCCTAGGCTCTGTCCCTCAGCTCTTTAGCTCAGGGCAAGCGCTTGACTGCTTGAGCCCACAGCGCCATTTCTGGCTTTTTCTGTTTATGTGGTGCTGAGGAATCGAACCCAGGGCCTCATACATGCAAGGCAAGCACTCTACCACTCAGCCACCTTCCCAGCCCTACTTTTACTTTTTGATTCTGGGGTTAAACCCAGGGCCTCTCACAAGCTAAGCACACACAGAATCTATAGCTGTGGTCTGTTTTGTTCCTTCACAGGTACATGCTGGCTGGTCATTTATTCACAATTTCCATGGAAAAAAGGATCGTTTTGCTAAATAGTAACTGACTATACAATTTCATATACTAAGAATGTATCCAGCAAAGTCCACTTTTCTGGAATCATTCCATGGTTCACAGAGCTTCATGTTCCCCATCCATGTGGTCTGTGCCTTGTACCTATCAGGCCCAGATTAGACCAAAGCTCTCTTTATAGTCTTTTTCACTAAATCTGAACAATACAGACCTGATAATAGGCTTTCTTGATTTCTTTCTGGCTGGCATTTCGGGGCACACCTAATATCTGGTAATAATCTTCTTTGGCCACAAAGGCGCTCGTGTGGAAGGAGGCAGTACAAACAAAAGGGTAGCTTTTAGTTCCTGAAAAAGAAAAAAAGTAAATCACTCTGGGATTGTATTCAACAAAAGGAAATAGGAGTAAATGGGCAGCTGCGGTACACCTGTGAAGGACCTTACAAACCAGACCATGACTAAGAGATCTGTTCCCTCTCAACATACTGGAAACTACAATTACCCACTGCCATAGATAACACAACAAAGGGTGTTGTTGATTCTGTTGGGTTATACTATTGGTGTAGTCTCATTATACCACCACAGGAATAGTAAATACTTCAGATAGAGGGGCTATCCCAGGGAAATTATTAGAAAAGGATTCTCTTTTTAAGTTATATTATTATCTTTAAGTAGTTGTACAAAGGGGTTACCATTCAACAAATCAGCTTATTAATACAATGCATCCTGATCAGTGTCACCTCTTTCATCATTCTCCCCCACCCCTAGAAAGGGATATAGCTCCCTCTCTTAGATTGCCTAAGCATTTACTACTGTTGTATATTCCCATAGGCTGGTCTCATTCACTTACAATCCTCCTTGTCTCAGTAATGTCTTAGTAATTTTTTTTTAATCCCCACATCTTTCTTCTATCGTACAAGCCTGGGGATCTGCTTATAGGTTGTGTCTCAAAATGTGGTCCCTGGACTAGCAGCATCATAGCGTGTTGAAAATGTAACACACTGTAAGGTACTGGTGGCTCAAACCTATAATTCTAGCTACTCAGAAGGCTAAGATCTGTGGATCACAGTTTATATCCAGCCCAGGCAGGAAAGTCTATCTTATCTCCAATAAACTACTCAGAAAAAGTCAGCAGTGTGCTGTGGCTCAAGTGGTAGACTGCTAGCCTCGAGCATAGAGAGGAACAGAGCCCATGCCAAGTTCAAGACCCAGGACCAGCAAAAAAAAAAAAAAAAAAAGCAACATACAAGTTGTTGGCCAAAAACCAACAACTCTGAACCAAATGTCCTGTTGATTAGAAATTGTCCATTGATATAAAATCTCTAACCCTAAGATATTTAGGGTAGATGCCTGTGCAAATGGCATAAATTTACTTTCAGCAATTCAGGTCGTGGGGCCTGAACTCTGGGCCTGGCACTATCCCTCAGCTCTTCAGCTCAAGGCTAGCATTCTACCACTTGAGCCACAGCACCACCGCTAGTTTTTTCTACTTATGTGGTGATGAGGAATCGAACCCAGGGCCTCATGCGTGCTAGGCAAGCACTCTACCACTGAGCCACATTCCCAGACCAAGATTTTAGACTCTAATTTGGGAGGTGAGTTGCTGAATTTGGGACATGAGGTGTGGTAATAGACTGCAGCTTGAAGAATGTTACTTTTTTTTTTGGCAGCACTGGGGTTTGAATTCAAGGCTTTGAGCTTAATAGGCTGGTACTCTACTACTTGAGCCATATCTCTAGCCCAGATTGACACTTCTCACAAGTGTATGGCACCTGATATAAACATGCCAATCACAGGCTATGGGGTCACTTGGGGAAAAAAGAAAAACTGATTCTTTTCCTTAGTAATAGCCTCACACTAGGTTTAGGACTTAGTTCCTATCTCTCTCCGTAACACAATTATAAAAACGCTCTAGAGGGAAAGTAGGAGAAAAATGAGGGAAGTAACAAGTTTGAAGAAATGTACTTATTACCTTACTTATGTAACTGTTGTAACCTCTCTGTACATCACCTTGACAATTTTAACTTGGTTAAGATAATTATTTTTAATGCTCTGGGTAGAACATTTACCTAACATTTACGAGTTCAATCCTCTACACTACGAAGGAAAAAAAGTGCTCTGTAAATCTGTACAGATGTAATAATAAATTTAGTTTAAGAAGCTAGGCATGGTAGCACATGCCCATAATCCTAGTACTTAGAAGGTTCAAGTAAGAAAATGTAGATGTAACCAAACCCATACTGAATTGTACAAAGGACCACAAAACCACCAAGACCACAGCTAAGAGGCTCAAAGAGATTAAATCATGCACCCAGATTGCAATCTGAGATGTAAATTGTTATTATCACTCATACACTTTTTTTTTTTTTTTGCTAATCCTGGGGCTTGAACTCAGGGCCTGGGCACTGGTCCCTGAGTTCCTTTTTGCTCAAGGCTAACACTCTACCACTTTAGCCACAGTACCACTTACAGCTTTTTCTCTTTCTGTGGTAATGAGGAATTGAACCCAGGGCTTCATGCATGCTAGGCAAGCACTCTACCACTAAGCCATATTCCCAGCCCCTTTCTTTATAAATTTAGGTAGCTTAAATATCACTTGCACAAAATATAGGGATATCTAACAACAATTCAGAGACATGGTCATTTGTTCATTGCTTCCTTCTTTTCTTCTCATTAAAACGGACGTCATCCACTAGATAAGAAAACAGCATGCTTAAGCATTTCAAGGCTTAATACATGTAATTTTCTATTCCAACCATTAAGGAAGGCAATTTTCAAATGAAGGCACTGCTGTACTGTTTTTTAGCTTTGTGATTTTGTACAAGTTGTTTAACACCTAAACCAGTTTCTCTGAAAAATCAGTGACTGTCACAGGGACCTAGGAAGATAAACCATATCTGACACACTGTTACGAGCTCAGTCTACATTAGACTGTGTTATTACACGGATTTTAGGCTCTCAAACGAAAACAAAACCTGTTAACTGCACCCTTCGATTTACACCGTGTGGAGAAAAGGGCAAAAAGCTATGAAATGATCATTCATCCACACTTGATGACCTTGATCAGTTCCTCGGTTCAAAGCCTCCGTTTTCCATTCTTTAAAACGGGGGTGGCGATCCGCAGCTTATAGGACTTCCCGAGTGCCTCAGTTCACTCACCCAGTGGCACTCGCCTCTCCCTTCCCCTCTCAAGGAGATGGAACGGTGGGGAGATGGGGAAGGCGTGAGCAGGGCAGCAGCGGTCTGGAGAAATGTTGACAGAAAGGTGAAGGTTCACGGCCTTTGGGGCGTTTCAACACCCCGGGCTCCATGCAACTCTTCCCCCTAGACGGCATGTGTACGTCGCCATCCGGGCCTCCCCGCCTCCTGCTGGCCTGTCTCCTAGCAGTTTCGCACGGTAGTCGAAGACACCTCTCTCCCCGCTACCCCTGTGGCTGGAGAAAGGCGAACCCCTCCTTTCTAGGCCCGGGAGCCGCAAGTCTGCCCTCACCTGTGAGGCTGACACCGGGCCTCAATGTCAGCAGCGCCGGGGGGCCGCGAGCACCCAGGGAAGGCGCGAAGGCAGCGACGTTCAGCTTGCGAACCAGTGTCGCCCCCACCACGCCCTCCCGAGGTGACCGGGCCCCTCTCCCCGCTGTAGCCGGCAGCCGGCGGGTCCCCACGGCCACCAGCAACCAGCGTGTGGAACACCGTGCCGCCATCTTGGCGCGGGGACACTGCGCCTGCGCCGCCCGGCGCACTGGGGCGGGGCTTCTGGGGGCGGGGCCTCCGCGCGCACGCAGAGCATAAGCGTTGCGCACGCGCAGATGATCTCCGGACGCTCCTGGTATCCGGCGTCTGCTGAGGTTTACCTTGCAGATGTCTGCACGGTAGGCTTTCCTTGTAGGATCTCGCAATTCTGCATTGGACAAGGCAAATACTAAGCCTTATCTGTGAACAATGTGGCTGAATGTAGCGACTGTAACCGGCCCGCGGGTCCTAGCAAAGGGAAGAACTACAAATCCCGATAGGCAATGCGACACTGGTCTCGCAGATCCCAGCAGGCAATGCGCGGCTGCCTTCTTTGACCCTTAAAAGTTGCAGCTTGTTGCGTCGGTCAGTTTGCCAGCAGTTCTCCCGCTGTATTCCCCGTCTAGCAGGAATGGTAGCGCTTAGCTGTCTCCTAAGCACGTAAGCCTTTTCCAAAGCTCTGTCGAGTTTGCTAGTTTAGATGAGAGCCGAAAATGAACACAAAAATGAACGTCAGGTTTGTGAACACGTACTATGTCAATCACCTAATGCGTATCATACATCTATCTTCTGTTAAATACGTTCAGAATATTGGGAACACCAGGATGAATGTTACAGCAGAACTTATCTAGAGGAGCAAATCTCAATGGAGAGAAAAGACACCTTCCTTAACGAGTACCGTTTTGAATGCTTTCAAAGATATAAACAGTTGCAAGGGTAAGCAGTCATTCTGCTTCTAAAATGGGGTGTGCAAGGTTTGGGGTGTGAAGAAGGCATGGTTTGAATTGCACTTTGATGGAAAGTGCTTTGAGTAGGGCCACAGTATTCCAAGTAATGTAAGGACTTCAGAAGCGACATATGAAGATGTGAAAGTTTGGACATCTGAAGATGTGAAAGTTTGCAGAAAGTTTGCCCTAAAAGTAGGGTGTGTAACTGGAGATGAGGCTAGAAAAAGAGATCTGCCTGCTCATTTGCAAAGAGTTTGAATTTTTCACACTATCACCTTCCCAGGTCTTAGGAAGGGATCCTGAGACCTTGTGAATGGGTTTAGGATTATCAATGCTCCTCCCCTAAGGGCATACCTAGAGCATTGTTCACAAATGTTTTCTGTACATGGGTGTTAATCTAGATATATATGCATAGCTTTCATCAATAAGATTCAGGTTGGGTCTGATGCCAGTGGCTCAAGCTTGTAAACCTCCCTGTTAGGTGGTTGAGATCTGAAGCACGACGTGATCCAGTTATTAAACATGGATGAAGTGTAACATTTACTGTATTCCTAGGACATGAAAATATTAGGCACAAAGCAGGGCAAGATAGATGACCCTTATGTAGAACCTATTGTGACTTGAGCTTGGCTTCCTAGCAAGGGGAAGTGGTCTCTTGTGTGGAACGTTGGCACTGTAAGCTAGGGTTGCCTCATGATACAAATGCAGTTGACTCGGTAAAAGCCATTTGTGGCATCTCTTTCTGGCCCAGGTGTCATATCCCCAATGTCTTCTTCCTGTGGCAAAATTCCTCTCTCTTGTAGGAATCATCCAAATCTGAATTTAAAAATCCAGAGCACAGTTGACAAGCTCTTTTCTCAGAGTGGACCTTTAAGAGTCAGGTTCCTTGAATTCGTGGCTTAGGCACTCTCAATTGACTTTTCTGCCCCAAACTGGAGCTCAACCATTTGAGCCACACCTTCACTTCCAGTTTCTTGCTGGATAATTGGAAATCAGAGTTTCATGGATCAGTCTACCCAGGCTGGCTTCCAACCAAGAACCTCAGATGTCAGCCTCCATAGTAGCAAGGATTACAGGCCTAAACCACCTGCTCCCTCCAATCTACTTAAAGTAACTATTGTGGGAGAGCGCAATCAGCCCACTGGAAAAAAAAAAAAAAGTCTTGGGAACAAACTCAGAAGAAGCAATCACAACCACGAAGCACGATCCCCCCCCCCCAAGCACGCTGGAATGTCCGTGGTAGGGCGCAAAGCCGAGATGTACGCGACCTCTCACCCGCCCCGTAGCGTTTTTTAGGTGTGTGGGCGTGGCTTCATGGGATTGCCATGTGGTGATTGGCCAAGAGGCGGGGCCAGCGCGTGAAAGAAGCGGTGGGGCGTCGCCAGGCGGTCCGTAGGCGGTTTCGATTGGATAGCGGCGCGTTGGGGCGTGGCGTCGAGCGGCGGGCCGCGGGTGGGGCCCGGCAGGCAGCGGGAGTAGCGCGGCTTTCGGCGTGCACCTGAGAGCCGACGCCCCTCGTCTTCCAGGCTGCGCCGCCGCAGGTCTCTACTGCCATGAACCGCTTCAAGGTGTCCAAATTCCGGCACACGGAGGCCCGGCCGCCACGCCGGGAGGTGAGCCTTCGCCCCCGGCCCCTCGCGGTCCGCCCCGCCCGGCAGTGGATACCCGGTGCCGCCGAGTCCCCCACAGCCTTCCCCCCCGCCCCCGGGGCGCCTCCTTCAGGCCCCGGCCCAGCGCCCTGGCTGGGCTGTCGCTGCCGAAGAGAGCAAAGTCCGGAGCTGTGGTGACGCGCTCTGGGCCGCTCGGTGGTCCCCGCGGAGTGTCTCGCCCGTCCGTGTCGTCCCCGGACCCCGGAGACTGCGCATCCCTCCTGGCCCGGGCCAGGCCTGAGGCCCGCGGGGCTGCCTGACTTTCCTGCTTCCGGTCGGCCTCGCTGAGGAGCCGGGGCTGGGGCGCGGCGGCGGCTGCCCCCCGCGTGCCTCGTCCTCCGTGCGGTGCCATCCAGGATCGACTCCGTCCTGGGCCCAGCGGTGGCAGACGTGCCCCCTGTTTTCCCTGGCGCCCCTCGGCCGGGCGGCCCTCCCCTCCCTCGGGTTTCCGCCCGCGCTTCCTCCTGTCGCTGCTGGCGCAAGCTCTTCTCTGACTCTCTCAGTGATGCTTCCAGCGGCAGCTGGGTGTGGCTTGGGGGGAAGCCAGAGCTAGTGGAGCCCAGAGAAGCTGAGCCCCGTGCTGAGGGCTTCCATTCCCAGAAGCGCCGCCGGCCGGATGAAAGAATGCTGAGCCCTAGTCTGTCTCCACTGTGTTATCTGGAAGGTCTGGGAGTGTCCTCAGCTAATTGGGACTAGGAATTGACCTCTGGTGATCCCATTAGTGAGCCAGAGCCAGTCGTGGCATCTCTCTTCTTTCTCTCTCGTCTCTCTCCTTGACCTTTTTTGCTCAAGGCTGGCGTTCTACCACTTGAGCCACAGCTCTACTTCCTGCTTTTGGGTTGGTAATTGCCGGTGTCTCAGCAGGTTTCTTCATCCAACTGCTACCCTCAGATCTCAGCTCCCTGAATAACAAGGATTACAGGCATGAGCCACTGGCACTGGGCTTGACTTCCATTTCAATTTTTTTTTCTTTTACCAGTATTTTCTCTGCCCTACTATGTGCATTACCCAGCTTCTGCGGCCACAGCGGTAAATGTGATAGCATTTTCCTTCCCCTGTGGCACTTAGATATCATGAAGGAGACAGCCAGCACACAGAGAGAACTGGTTTAAGGACATTGCAAATTTTCATCAGTGCATTGAAGAGCATATGAGAGGCTGGGTTGGAGACAGCAAGGTAGGGGTTAACCTTAGAAGGGTGGTGGAGAAGGCTTGAAGGAAGTGGCAGATTAGTTGAAGCCAGAAGGTTGAGAGTGAGAAAGAGCCTGGTGGAGGAGTGGAAAATGGAACAAGTTGGGTGGCGAGCTTGGTGACCAATGAGAGCCCAGCAGTCCTGCAGGAGCCTGGGGACCACAGGAAGAAATTGGGTTTTATTCTAAGTGCAAATGGCACTTGTTCAGTATTTAGATTTACAACAAAACTGTTGCTCTGAGTGCAGTAAGTACTACATGAGGGATTTGGTGCTTGCTCCTGGATGGGCCTCCAGCCAGCCAGGTAGACTATAGGACCATGGAACCCGGAACTGCATGGCGAGGTAAAAAGGATTTATATCTGGGAGTCAGGAGAGCAAGTGATCTGCTTTTCAAAGATATGGTTTTGTCACTATGCAATAAACACGATTCAGGAGGGAAAAATAATACAAGGTATTCGTGTTCTATCAGTGGCTAGTAGACACAAATGAGAAATTTAGATGGTGATGCTGTAATGGAGGGAGGGGACAGGGAAAGTGCTGTCAAAGTAGGAAATAATAAGGACTTTGTTCATCTTAGTTTTAGAGAAAGTGTTACCGTGGAGCCCCACATGTTGGGAATGTTAAACGTCTCCTTGTGGGAACAAGGCATTCACTTACCTAGGGAACTTGGTGGAAGTACATGTTCTAAGGATTCTGGGCCTTGGTTTTCCCCTCCTGAGTAAGGGTGTTTTCTCTCCCAGTGTTTGGAAAGGGATCTGAGGGGGTCCTCAGCAGAGGGCTGGGGAAGCTGAGCCCATCTTCTCTTTTAGTAACTCACTCTGACTTCCTCTGCCTCCCTCCCTCCATCTTAACAGAAACAAGTCCCCTACCCACACACTTCCTTCTGACAGCCTCCTCCCCCTTATTAAGGAACTGACTTGCTAAGCAAAATCACCCCCTTAGGTTATTTCAAGAACATTTTTTTTCTAAGGGACTGTGTGAGCCAGAACAGGGTTTGAGCCAGAGGAATGAATCTATTGTGGTGCAGCTTTAAGATAGAATTCACTGGGCTGGGAAGGTGGCTCAGTGGTAGAGTGAACCCAGGAGGCCCTGGGTTCAATTCTTCAGCACCACATAAGCAGAAAAAGCCAGAAGTGGCTATGACTCAAGTGGAACAGCACTAGCCTTGAGCTGAGCAACAGTGCCTTGGCCCAGAGTTCAGGCTCCACAACCGACAAAAAAGAAAAAAAAGAATTCACTCGATTATGGTCACTGCTTTAGGCATGAGCAGAGAGACTCAGCCCTCACCTTGTATTTCTTGTTCTTTTCTAGGCCTGGATCAGTGACATTCGTGCAGGGACAACCCCCACATGTGGCAGCCATATCAAATCAAGCTGTAGCTTGATTGCCTTCAATTCTGACCGTCCAGGTAGGGGTGGTGATGGTCATGGGGGAATAGGTTATCATAGATAGGATGAGGAGGAAGGATAGGCTTAAACCAG